TATATGAAATTTTCCATTTTAAAAGAAAAAATATGTATGATTAGGAAAATTATTGAAGATAAAAATCTTATAACCACTGCCCAAGTCAAGAAATGGAACTTCACCACTGATCTTAAGTCTTTTCCATATGTCCCTAACCACAATCTTCCTCCCCCACAAAGTAACTCTATTCTGACATTTATAATAAACAGTACTTTATGCTTTATTCGTCTTTACAGTTTAAGCATGCATCCCTAGAGACCATAGTTTAATCTTGACCATCTAAATTGTTGATATATATTTTAAGACAGTGCAGGTTGCTTTCTACGCCTCTCTTTCTTCCCACAATTTATCTGCTAATGAACCTGAATCATCCTCCCTGACCTTCCCACTCTCTGAGTCTTGTTGATTACTCATGTAAGGTGCAAGCCAACACATTCTGCTGTCTGATTTGTCAAACAAATGAGCAGCTGGGCCTAGAGGTCTGAATAGACTCAGGTTTGACTCTTTTAAACAGACCACAAGTGGTATGTCAGGAAGCCCCTAAGGTCTATTTTTATTTTGTATGATTTTAGCAGCCATGGATGCTCAATGCCTAGATTCAGTATGTTCTTAGGAAATGTAAATGCTAATTTCTTGTCAATTATTTCTTTTTCCTCTGTAGAAGTTAAAGTACTTCTATAAACAGATATATCTCCTATAGTCCATCCAGGAAAGACAGAGCAAATGTTCAATTTGTCCTCTTTCTTTATGAGATTCCAAGATAATGACTGGCTCCCTATCATGTTTCCAAGCTTGTAAATATAAGCATAATTATATCATTGTTAATTATTATACTTAGTTAATATTAATATATAAAATATATTAATATGAACATAATTTATACAAATATGAATACATGTATTTTAGTGTATTGCTAGGTTTTAATCCATTTCAACTTTTAGCCTTATTGATGCTCAAATGGACCCACCTTCCACCAGTAAATGCCCTTCCCATCCCTTCATCCTTTAACATGATGAGGTTAGTCTTTGGTAACCTTTTTGCTATTTAGTATGACAAGATATTCCAGACTTATCTCACACAGTGGAGTTGTTGTCATCATGACCTGGATTGTGCCACATCTCAAGAAGTCTATGTCCTTCTTCTAGTGGGAAATGATATTTCATGGCCACCATCTACATACTAGGGATACTTTTGGCTACTTCACTGGTCATTGTTTCTAGTCTTTTCAATCATCTCTAGAAATTGTGTATGCTCCCTTGACACTGCTCCTTCTGATTCAAATTCAGAACTATTGAGTTTATTTCATCTCTTCCCTATTACATCACACCTGGATCTTCTTCCTTGAAACTAAGTGTTCTGCATTCAGGAGCTGATACTATTAAAATATCCCATGTTTAATCCTTTGCCTTATCTCCTATTACCTACTCAGTATTCTCAGAGAAACCACAGAAATACTGCTACAAATAAGACTACCAAAAATAAATAGAAAACAAATTCTGCATATTTTCTCCTCACTGTGCCTAACTTTTTGCAGTTGTACTGAATCTGTATTTTCACAGAGCCATGGAATACTGTACTCTCTGCCTCTTGTCTTCATTTGGTCTTAATTGTTTAATGTTATATATTTGAGGCTTGCCACCAATTCTTTTTTCCCCCATACCTGGGATCAAACTCAGGGCCTTGTGAGACAGGTGCAGTGCCACTGAGCTAAATGGCCCATTGCCACCAATTCTTAACATCAACTTCTCCCTGGTTGTTTTGCTCCTCTGAAGCTTGCTCTGTAGTAAATCCCTCAAGAAGAGCTCATGAGAACAAAATTTCTTAATTTCTTGCATTTTGATAAGTTACCTATGTCCTTTCTATTTTAAATGCAGTTTTTCTGCATATAATATCCTATTTGCATTTTCTTTCCTTAAGGACCTCAAAAATATTATCTCATTTTCTGCTAGCATAAAGCATTATTATCCAAGACCTCTGACAATAATCTAATTTTTCCCCTACATAAGCTATTTTCTCTTTTTGGCTGGATGTTAAATAATTTTATTTCTTGTAGTGCAGTAATTTTCTCAGAATACAATTTGGTATTGGCCATTCGGGATCAATTTTTCAGGTACACTATGTGGTTGTGTCCTTTCAATATACAGGTTCAGATTTTTTTTTATTGTGATTTCAAGGAAGTTTTTCTTGAATTGCAACTTCTAGTAATTTGTGTTCCTTTGGTTTTCTTTTTCAGGGACTCATTATTGTAATGGATATTCTTTACCTCTGTTTTTTTGTTTTTGTTTTTGCTTTTGTTTTGTGGTACTGGGGTTCAAACTCCAGACCTTGCACTTGGGAGGCAGGCGGCAGCACCATTGAGCTGAATCCCTGGCCCCACCTCTGTATAATATTTTAATTTTCTCTCAAATATTTTTTATCTCTCTTTTGTACTTCTTTTTGATTTTTAAAAACTTCCTCCTCTTTGCCTTCTGTACTCCTTGAGGTGCTGCCTGTTGCATTTCTTTATTCTTATTCTCTTTTTAGTTTGGTCTTCATTTTTGATATGACTTTTTTTCTAATTCCTTCCTGGAAGTTGTCATACAATCTCGGGGTAGTTTTTCAATTCTTGTGAATGCTGTTCTTGCATTATTTCTTAATATCTCAGCCTGTTTTGAAATAGCAGGTTATGGTTCGTTCTGTTTTGGGGGCATCTCTTACTGGCATTCTTCTACTGTCTATAAACAAGATGCCTTATTCCCTCTTTCTCCTCTCACAGAGATTGAACCCAGGCCCTTGCACATGCAAAGCAAGCACCCTACCACCAAGCGACATCTACAAACTCTTACTTTACTTAGAGGCGAGGTCTTGCTGAGTTGCCCAGGTTGACCTTAAAAACCTTGTGACCCTCTTACCTCTGCCCCACCCCGGCTGGGATTTCAGGCAATGCACCACCCCACCCAGCCTGTGCCTTATTTTCTTCATTCCTATAATAATTTTGCGTAAGTTTTGCCCTTGATATTTTTTATGACGTTTGTTTCTTTGTGATCATCATTACCCAGTGAACGTTGAACAGAAGATCTGGTTCCGACTGCACGGCCCTGCCTCTTCGGGTGTGTTTCTGCATTATTTTAAAACATGGCATCTTGTCTTTGGCAAAGTCCAGCCTCTCATTCTCCACTCTCTTATGGATCATCTCCGTCTCTGCTTCTGTTTTTCTCTTTCTACTCTATTCTAATTCCATACCCAGATGTTTCTCATCAGCAGAGCTTAGCAGACTGGGAATTCCTTTCTAGTCAATGTAATAGCCTTCCCAGGGTCTGGAGCCCTTCATCCTTTCAGAAGTTGTCACAGATCCACCGGTGGGTGGCGGTCCCCTTGCCGGCTTTCACTGCTATGATTACATTGCCTTCTATGCTCCCTAGTGAGAATCCGTGTGCCATTTGGGTGCTGTCTGACCTGACTTCATCGCTGCGTCCCTCTTCATTCTCCTAGGCAGATGCTGAGACCATGCAAGTCTTGCAGTTTTTAGCAGGTTGTCTCCCCACCAAACCCTGCTTGTGTTTCAGTGTTCGCAACTTAGAATCCCACTCAAATCCAGTTGCTGATTTATCCGGAGATGTCCAGTGGCTCTGTTCTGGAGCCACATCCTCCCCACCTGGCAGCCACTGGATGGAGCTCATGACAGCGTCCACTATGGTGGGGTGGGGGTGGGCGTGGCACGAGCTCTCCAGGCTGCCGTGGTCCCAGCCCCTCCATCAATTCCCTGATCACTTGCCTTAATTAAACAATTTTCCCAGCCCTAAATCTTCTCTTCTAGGGTCAGTGACACAAAATAGTAAGTATGTGTCAGGAGCCCCTGCCCAATTCCCCCAGTGTGTTCTGCTGTTCCTCCCTCACACTTCATTTATCCTATTATGAATCCCAGGCATTCAACTCCTGATGCCTCTGCTCTTTCTAGATTTTCCTCCTAGCATCCCTGGAGGCATTTGGATTTCTACATTCCCGAGCCTCTTCTGCTCAGCTGCCAGGTCCTTAACACATCTGAAAATGTTAAAGCTCCCTGTACTCACAAGTTATAAGAGAAGGTCCCAAGGCCCAACCACAAATTTAAGAAGCTGAACACAGAGAGGCCAGTTTTAACATGGCTTAGCAGGAGACAGGAGCATGAAATCAGCCAGGAGCTAGGTTTATGTGGCTTGAACAACCGAGGAGAAAGGAAATCAAAGCCCTGGTTCTGGAAATAGCGCTGGAGTAAGCATTAGGCTTCAACAATAAAGATAAGAGTTATCAATGGTCTGCAACGTAAAAGAAGGATCTGGAGACTGAGTAAGGTCAGGTCAAAGATGCACTTTGCAAAGAGTGAATTCCTCCCACTGCATTCTTTTTATGCTCAACTTAAAGAGGTCACTATTCACCAGGTACCTTTGGGTCACCCCGTTTAAATTGTCATTCCCAAGAAGATATTTAGACATGCGGAGTTGCTTCCAATTCTCTGACAATGTTCTTACGTCTCTACATTGTACCTGCTGTTTCTTTTCACTAAAGTCCCTCCATCTTTGTCCAGGCAACAAAACCAAACAACTCAGATCCTCCCTCTTCCAAAATCTTTCTAGGCTGAGTAAGTGCCTCTCTCTCTCTCCCTCTCTCCCTCTCTCTCTCTCTCTCTCTCTCTCTCTCTCTCTGTCTGTCTCTCTCTCATATATCCTCTTGTAGGTATTCTTTCTTTCCTAATTTGTTTCTATTAAGTAAAAAGCTCAGCTCCTCAGAATAAAAAAAGGAATCTTAAAAATTCTGTATCTCCTACCCCTAGCATGTTACAGGTGCTCAAATAACATTTCTAACCATTTCTGCAACCCTAGACAATTCGGAGATGGAAGCCGGGACTGGGGGCCCCCCACGTGAGAGTCATGAGAGACCAGCTCCACACTCTAACGTGTATTGCTCAGACAGCCTGGGGGAGCTACAAATCTGGCTGTCCTCTGGGTATCTTTCATCTTCTAGGACTTCCTGTCTAAGCATTTTAATTATTTTATTGCCAGCTTCATCAGGGAGACAACATAAGAGAGCACAAAAAGCCAGACCAGCCTCCTGAGTTATTGTTCAGAGATGGGAACAATGTCCTATTACTCATGAAAATGTGAGGACAGACAAAGGTTTTCACAGTCGGCTGTCATCATTGCTCATAAGTTTCAAAGAGAACCTTCAGAGGCTGGACAGAAGACATAACGGCAGTAGGTGACAGTGGAAAGCCATTCATCGGTGGAAGGGTGGGCATCCTGTCTCAGTCCCCAGGTGCATGACCACAGGAAAGTTTCACGGTCAAAGCTACAAAGTGTATAGGAAGTGGATTCACCTACCTGGATCCCTGCCTCTCTTCTCCCCTCAGCTAAAGCCAACAGACTCCCTTTATAGCCATGTCCTGGGGAAATGTTGGAACCCCACCATCAGAAACTGTGGACCCAAGGACAACTTGTCAGTCCACTGGGACCCTGCTCTCTGATCCATATTTGACTTCTCCCCATACAGAATCCTCAGCTCAAGTTCTAGTTCTGAAAATTGGGAAAATACCTTGTACATAATCTCTATTTTGACCTACCCAATACTCCAGTCCAGTAGTTCTCAATCTTTGCTGCACGTTAGCATTCCCTGGAAATTTTTAAATATACCAAACACCTGAACTTTACCCCACGTTAAATCAATCAGAATCCCTAGTGATAAAACTTGTGCAGCAATTTTTTGAGCACTAGTTATCTAATACCATGTGACAATTTTTTCTACTACCTAATGATTAAGACAATAAACAATGTGAGTGGTACAACTGGGTGGTTTTGTCTCAGGGTGCTCCATGAGATTGTAGCCAAGATGTCACCTGGAGACTTGAAGATGTCTTTCCAAGATGCTGGTGTTGCCACACGGATCTCTCTTTGAACATCCTTACACCATGGCAACTTGCTTGCCCCAGAGGAAGTGACCTAAGAAAAAGTGAGCAAGGCAGAAGCCACACTGACTTTTTTCGCCACAGTATGCTCTTAGTTGTATGGAATAGGCCCATTTGATGTGGGAGGGGTTCAGACATAGGAGGTAAGGCTTATGTAACCATTTTTTGTTTGTTGGCTTGCATGCTTGCTTGCTTGCTTTGTATTTTGAGATAGGATCTCACTATGTAGTTTAGACTGGCCTTGAACTCACGATGTAGCCCAGGCTGGCCTCATACTTGTAGCAATCCTCCTGCCTCAGCTTCCTACGTGCTAGGATTAAAAGCATGTGCCATCATACCTGGCCTCCCTGGGGACCATTCCTGAAGCTGGTTACCACACTAGATATCTTTAAACTGTGCCAGGATTGAGAACCACTGCTGCTAGTCCCTTTGGGGCTAAGACCATACATTTGCCTTGCTTAGAGTGTGAACCTTTCTGGGACGTCTCCCTTCTAATAGTTGTAAAGCTTTCAGCTCCTGAGCATTCTAAATGCTGTTGGGAGAGGGTGGGAGGTGGGAGGAGAGGGGACTTTGGGGCCCCTCCTAAATGAGCACCATGCCTTATCACCTGAAGTCCCTTCCATAACCTTTTCTCATTTGATTCTGAAGCAAGCAAGAGTTATTAGTGCTTATTCTCTTCATAGAACAAGCAGCCAGAATGGTTTGGGTCTTTTTAACTACAGTGAAAAGTTCTGCACATAATTCTTTGTTCGGCTAGCAGATTATTCTCACAGGGTAGATCCTGTCTCATGAAAATACTTGTTCAAATCTTTTTGCCCCTGCACAGTGAGTCTCTAGGTATTTCTGTGGTTTATGTATTTGTTTTTCCATTTCTTATTGTTTATTTTGTTTTTAGCCTGTGCATCTAATCATCACACCACTGTTCAAAATGGAGTGACAGTCTCCCAACCATCATGGGATATAGTCCCAAATCCTCTTTCCGGGCAGTGGGCTCAGCATAAATGGCCTCTCTTACACTCCACCCCAGCCTCTTGTCACTCCACTTAGTTCCCTATTCACTGCATTCTGGACACTGATGCCCAACTTCAGCTCCTAAAGTATACTAATCTGTTACCCACTGTAAGGCTCTTCCTCCAAGTTCGGCTTAGATAACTAACACACTTACCCTTTAGTTATCTCCCTTCTCCAGAGAGATGTTTCCTGATATCCCAGTCTAACAGGTTTCCCAATGGGATTCTATTCTGTTCCCTCGTAGCATTTATTACAAAGTGCAATAATGTACTTAATTGTGTGGTTATCTGTTTGTTTCCACTAGACGAGAATCTCCATGAACCTGAGGATCATATATTTTTCTCTGCTGCCTGCTCACTCCTCTGGCTCAAACTCAGCTCCTGGCATACAGAAGGGGTTCACATGGTGCTTACTGAGTGAATGTTTGTGAATGGAAAACCAAGGCCCAGAAACATGTAGAGGGATTCCCACTGCCAGTCATCCAAGTACCAAGACACCTGCCTGGTCCTGGATGGCAGAGTAAATTCAGAATTTCTTTTCTATACCCAGTATCCATCCTGCCCTTGCAATCACATCACATGAACAATGGTCGGTACAGCTGAATCCAGGGCCTTCCCAGACAAGTTGTGAAGGTAGTCAAGGGTTTGTTCCTTCACCATAAAGTGATGTCTGGGCTCCTGTGTTGTAGTGAGGAGTGTTTTTTTTTAAGGAACCTTGACTCTCGTTACAAGAATCCACATCTCTGTGAGTTTCCATCTGGCCTTGGAGGTTGTTTCCAGGAAGCCAGTCCACAAAGGTGAAGTGCACTGGCTATAATTCTTTAACATTTCCCCAAACCACTGGCACATTTGCTCTGTGGTCTATGTTCCTGTTGTTCTAATGGGGTGTTTGAGGAAAAGATACAGCTCTCCAAGCCTTCCCTGTCCCCAGGCAAAGGACCAGGGACTTTATGCAGCTTGGGAGTGTCAGGTTGTAGGATGCTGGGGGATGAATAAAGAACAGAAGTGAAATCAAAAATCTTGTCCTTGACTAGTTCCCAAGTACCCATGCGACACAAGTTCTAATCCCCCACCCTTTATTTATTGGCTGGATAGCTTGGGAATGTTGTTTAACCTCACCCTCACTTGCTTTAAAAAATGGGCTGCATAATAATTTTTCAACTAGATGTAGTGTAAAAATCAAATGATGCCGTGTACATGAATTTTCTAGCACTGAATACATGCTCAGTAAATGTAAATTTCCTGTCCATATTATTTAGGGGGAAAAATCCAAATGTGATAGAGATTCAAGAGTATTCATAAACAAGGAAGGAAAGAAGGGAGACACTGATAAAAGTTGATCTGAACACTTTCTCTGCCGTGCCAGAACTCACTGTGACTTTTTTCCTTCCCTGTCTGAGTTTTAAGGAGAGATGTTAATTGCAGCCTGGGAGAATCAGCTCCAGACTAAGACATGAGCTCCTCAAAGCCTTTTCAAGGTTATCTTATGTGCAAATTCAGTCACAGAGGGAGGGCTGAGATCTCTTCCATGGACTAACTATATTTTCTTGTCTTCAACTCATCCTGTGGTTTTCAGGGTCCCTAAAAGTTGTTGCCCCCCAGGTTCCCCACTGGACTCCTTCCCTTACTACTTCTGATCCTCTGTTTTCTCTCCTTCCTAGCTTCCAGACAGTGGTGCAGACAAAAAGACCATTTGTAACAGTTTTTCTGACAGCTGGACATTATTTAATTACAACTTCTAGCGGCCACATAGTGAGCCAGAGGCTATTTAAAGTTCTAGATGGCAGAAAGAGAAATGAGGGAACTTTGGGGGTGGGGATAAGAAAACTCAGGGTAGGCAGCACCAGGAGGGATTCTTAGGCCCCCTGCTGTGATGTAGTATTTCTCAGAGCCTGACCCAGGATGTCAGAGCCTCTGAGCAGGAAGGCAGCACGTCAATCCATTGGGGGGCAGGGAACAGGTGCTGAATCATCAGCATCAAACTAAATAAAATTTGTCATTCATATTGGCTACTGTGTGATCAGAGCAAGAAACCCAAGCGCACAGAGGAGAAAGGACTGCTCCAAAACCACACAGTAACAGGTAAAATTTTGAGGGTGATATTTAAGCATCCTAAGCCTTGCTGCTGCCTCTATGCATGAGCCACACCTACCCTGCTTAGTTTTCCATACACGGACAGCCACACTTTGGCAGTGTCATTTTGGAGGGCTGAGCTGCCACATGTTATTCTGGGTATAATCCAAGGAGGATGATCCTGAGGACCAGGGTTTGGTCATCTGGTCAACCCCAGAGAGGCATTATTTTTGCATTTAGCTGCTGCCCTACAATTTGCTAGACTTTGGGTGGCTGCAACAAGAGTGAGGGTGGAATACTTCCCCACAAAGTGAGGCTAGGGAAAGCAAAACTGCCACATGATGCTATACTCTCCTGAGAAAGAGGAGCAAAAGCCTAAGTATGAACACAAATAATAAAATCAATGATTATAATAATGACTCCATGGACTGAGGCCTGTTTTCACCAACACTATTAATTACTAGCATGCCACCATTCTGACTTTTCTCTAAAATGAAATATATATTACTTACATGGTTTCACAAGAGAGGGAATGGAAGTTTAGGGAAATTAACCAAACCCCAAAATTACCAGCCACTACTACGACAAAAATTCAAACTCAGTCCTACTTCCAGAGCTAATCTTTTTACCTCATACTGATAATTCTCTATCCTGAGTGCACACTGGAATTCTCCAGTAAAAATATTATTCCAAGGCCAAAGTCTTATCAAAGACCAATTAAATCGAAGTCTTTTTTTTTCAATTTTTATTTTTTACTAGTACATGTTTGTAGTACATAATGTTTACATCCCTTTTGTGGAGTTGGTATGTTTACATAACACATCTTAATTCCTTTTTTCATCCTTTTTCCCTGCGTCATTCCCCCTTCATTTCTTGATCCCTTTTCTTTGAAAAAGATGGATCTCCTGCCTGGTGTAGTGGCTCACGCCTGTAATCCCAACACTCAGGAGGCTGAGGCAGGAGGATTTCTGTGAGCTCAAGACCAGCCTGGGCTACAAAGTGAGTTCCAGGTCAGTCTCAACTACATAGTAAGACCCTGTCTCAAAAAACAAAACAAAACAAAAACAAAAAACAAAGATGTATCTCCCTACTTCCTATTATCTATCTTTTATTTTTCTGTTTATTTATATTTTGGATTTCTCATGTAAGAAAAACCACAAAATATTTAAATTGGGGGGCCAGTTTATTTCACT